ACTGTACAGAGTTGGGCCTCTGCTTCTGCCCATCACATGTACACATGACTATGTTATTTGGATAAATAATGCATCCAAATATCATATTTCCCCAAAAGGAAAATAAAAATTAAAAAACATTAGTCCAGCTATGAAAACTATCAGGACAGAATTCTCAGTAACTGTATGATTATAAAATACCCCATGCAGAGAGAGTAGAGCCCAAATTAAGCAATTGGGTAATAGACTGGAATCAGCTAAGAAATGACACAATAGAGTCAGAATTTAATTTTTAAAAAAACCAATCAGAAAACATTCTAATGAGAAAAAGCTGTGTGTGTAAAGACATGCCCAAGAGTATAGTGTATCTGAAGGGCCTACAGCAATATTTAGGTGACCTTAGCTGATTTCAAACAGTTAAGCTAGACCAATCCAAGTTGGTACCAATAAATCCCAGGGGAATAGGCTAAAATACATGAATGCTTAAAAAAAATTTTTTTTTAAGTCATCCTGGAAAAGGCTATAAAAAACCACTTCCATATTGTGGCCAAGAAAACTCCAAGGACATCTCCATGTCATCATGAGGAGCTAGGGCGGACTCAAAAAGTCTTTACCTTTCTCAGCATGGAGAGATCAGCAAGCCCATTAAAAGCATATAGAAAAAAGGCCTAAATGGAAAACAAACATTTTGAAAAATAATTATATACTTGTATCAGCTTTGATAATAGTGATATAGTTTGATCCATGTGATAGCACTTATTATTACTTGAATAAACATCAGAATTATCAGCTCCATACTGGGTAGTGTGTAATATATAAGGTGGGAACACCCAAACTCTTATTTGGAAGTGTAAGTTTGTTCAGAAATTCTAGGTAAAAATATCAGTAAATTTCTTCAAAACTATTCAATGACTCAAGAACTCTTCAGCCAAACCTGCCATAACAAAATTTCTTTTTACCACTGAAAGCAGTGAATATGTAGGTGGTAAAACAATTCCATTTAAGAGTCTGTCATGGCACTTCTGCTCCTTTTTGCCCTAATTCTTAATTCCCTATTTTCCCACTCCTGAATGTATGTGTTGTATGATCCTGTTGTTTCAGTTCCAATTCTC